ACTACATCTTGGACTTCCTCCCTAAGTATCATTGGCATTTGATCATATGCTACCTCTTGAAACGGTTGAACATCAGCCATTTCCTTTTAGTACAGTGACTCTATGTATTCCTTCCATCTTTTCTTGATGCTTTCTGCATCATTCAATAATTTGCCTAGAGACTCTTTCAATAACAAAAGTCGAGCCTTGAATTTTTTTCTTCAGTTCCCCCAGCTTGAGGAATGCTGAGCGTGTTCTTCCTCTCTGGTTTTCTGATGCCAGATCTTTGCATGTTTTGTTGTATGACCCAAATGTGGCCCAAACACAGGGAGTGAGTGCACACGGTGGAAAAAATGCTGCCTGTAGACTTGTTCGACGCAGGGTTGCCACAGCCTTCAATTTGTCACAAACGATATCTGCTGTGTGTCCTAAACAAAGGACAGTCAAATGAAGTCGATCTGAACTTCATTTCTTCTTATTGCTGAGGTGAGATTCATATAATGGACAATTAACCATTTAAAAATGTGCAATTCGATGACATCAAGTGCGTACATGAATAAGGAAGACCATAGAAGAATTGATATATTTGAGTTTTGGAGAAGAATATTAAAAATACCATGGACTTCCAGAAGAACAAACCAATCTGTGTTGAAAGAAGTACAGCCGTAATGCTCCTTAAAAGCCAAGATGGCCAGATGTCGTCTTTCACACTTTGGACATGTTTTCAGGAGGTACCTAGAAAAGGACAACATGCTTGGTAAAGTGGAGGGTCAGCAAAAAAGAGGGAGACCCCGAGACAGATTGGCACAGTGGCAGCTGCAGTGGGCTCAAGCGTAACAATCGTGAGGTTGGCGCAGGGCTGGGCAGTGTTTTCTTCTGTTGTGCATACGGTCTCTGTGAGTCAGAACCGACTTAACAGCACTGCATAGCACCAACATAGAGAGGCTCGGAATCCACTTGACGGCACCCAACAATAATACTATCCCATTATCTGAATTTACCAGCCCTTCTTTTTTGACTTTTTACTGTGACTTGGGAAAATCGATTTTCCACATTTACCAGTTCATTCCCAGTTTGTTTCATGACATTGATTGCACTCCCCAGGTTCTCCCTGTGTTTCCTGTTTCCATTCATCAGTCTTTCTGATTCCCAGCCTGCCTTCAGAGCTTTCTCCCTGGGCAAATGCGGCCCTTTTGATCTTGGATGGTTGATCTTTCTCAGCAGTACGTACATCTCTGGTGTTATTGGGCACTTTGCTACAGGCCTGTCTGATGTTTGACTGAAAGTTGACCCACGGCATCAGTTCAGTGCCAGGCCTGAAGGGCCCCCAGTCTCTGTCTGATCTTTTCATGATTTTGAGTTTGGTTCCACATTTTCGCCCACTCTCTCCAGGATCTTCTATTGCGATTCCTTTCAGGGTAGAGGTAGCCAGGAGGTGCCGTCTCAGAATTGTGCAGGCTGCGGTTCGTATGATCCGTAAGTCGTTTGGACCAGTTGTTTCCATGCATCTTTGATCTTCTTCATTCTTCTTTGCTCCGGACAAGGAGAGAACAGTGGTTGCTCTTAACCTGGCTGCTCATAGGTTTGTTTGTTTGTTTTTAAATTATTTTTTTTATTGTGAACTGAGTGATAGTTTACATGGGAGAACATCGGCTTTACACCATCATTTCATTGCAATGAT